ACACACACATATCACACAAACAGCACCCTCACACACACAGCACACTAACAGGACCCTCACACACAGCACACAAGCAGCACCCTCACACACAAACCACACCCTCACACACAGCACACTACCAGCACCCTCACCCACATAGCACACTACCAGCACCCTCAACCACACATCACACTAACAGCACAACAGCTGCACACACCTATGAACAACACTACAAAGACACTTATTTAAAATTACGGGACGTTACTAGAGACCAAAAACTGATAACAGTACGGACACACTTTCAGGAATACAACAATTACAATATTCACAACTCTCCCATTTTATCAATAGCATGAAACTGCTACCAGGGGCACAGGTACCCACGCAATTTGAACAATTATGTTTATGTCACCCGCTAAAAACTAAAGTGCTTTCCACCATATACACCTAGATACAAAGGGCCCAAATGCAGTACATCCTTCCATTTGCACTTAAATGGGCTGCGGAACGGAATTTAGATCTCTCCACAGTTCAGTGGAAGAAAATTTTCAAGAGAACATATAAAGCATTCTCGACGACAGTGACACAGGAAAGTAACTATAAACGCATCACACAGTGGAATTACACGCCAGCTAAAATACATAAGATACATAGCTTCGCTCAAGATGAGTGCTGGAGGTGTAGAGAACCCAACGCTCACAGCACACATTTGGTGGCCATGTCCGAGGATTGAAAAATACTGGAGACACATCCACACATTAACCCAAACGATTCTGGAAACACGACTCCCATTTATACCAGAAGTTTTTCTGTTTCTCATACTCTTCCACACTTGGGTAAACATGGGGTAACTCTGCTTTCTGAAATGATAACAGCCACTAATTCTCTAATCCCTCTCAATTGGAAACAGACGAGAATTCCGTCCGTAAGGGAATGGTTGCATAGAGTAGAAGGGATAAAACAGACGGAGTGAATAATCTATGTGAGAAATTACGCCACCTACATCTGAATATGGGAACCATGGGACACCTTCCTACGAGAAGGTACAGAACACCCCCCCCACCCCGTCAGGTACCTGAGCCAACATGTTCATACAACACGATTATAAAAGTTAGGGTGTAAGTTTATTTAGAACAAGCTAAAGACGCTCAAGAAGTTAAGTATCCGACACATCTCGTATCACCCCTCTGACCTAAGGGTGTCAGCTGTCTTTCATTGGCTCTGTTGTTCTTCCATGAAGATTAGACATTGTCACTGGCCAAACAAGACTCCATACTGGAAACCTCACATATATAACGTAACCATGTTTTGAATAAAGAAACCACACTGTATAAAAATGTAACCAATATGTTTTAAGCTACTGTTGAAGTCATAAGTGAATTACGACAACCCAGAGTATAGTATAATGTTTAAGCGACTCTGACAGGAATCAAAACTTTATGACGTATTCACCGATTTGGAAATTTTTCATTTGTCTGTATCTGCTCTTATATAACTTTTGCATTAATTTGTACAAAATTCCTGTTATATTAATGTTCCAATTGGTAAATTATCTATGTTATGCTGAACAAAATTAATAAAAACGATAAATAATAAAAAAAATTTAAAAAAATAAATACATTTTAAAAAATGCATGCCTGCACTTAAACACCAGCACTACATACAAACACACCCTCTTCATTCACATACTCCATACAAAAACATGCTTACAATCCAACAAGCAAACACTGCTCAGTGCTAAAGACAACCTTGCAGGGATGGGCACATAATAGATCCTCAGCTGGCAAAGTAGTGTTAGAATTGTACAAGTGGGGATCTACCTTTTGGCCACCCTCGCAATAAAGGGGCAAACTAATTCTTGCACCAGGGACTCTCTCTGTTAGTTCTGACTGTGCTAGTGTTTGTCTGTGTAATATAGTATATCTGTGTATGTGTGATAGTGATTGTATTGCTAATTCGCTTGGTGCGTGAGAATTTAGTTGTGTATGTAACTAATTATCAATGTGTTTGTGTGTGTCTCTTTCTCTGGCCCTGTAAATTGTAAGAATTGCCCTGGTCACTGCTGCAATATTCATCCCAGTAACGTTTTAATAGTGTTTGTTGGGGTGAAGGAACTGGCAATTGTCCCCTTCAAGTAAAGACAAGTTTTGTTAAACCTTACCTGAGAAAATAGTCATTTGTGAGCATGAGTGATCTACATTACTGACCAAGGTCTCCATCTGCTGGTATAAAAGTAGAATACACCTGGATTTCTTTACCTGTAACTTATTGGTGGTCTGCAATATTGTGTAATGGAGACATTACAGTAAGCCTTAAATTCTGTATGCTTCATGATCTTCCCGTTTGCACTGACATGCTGTACATGCAGGCATGTAATTAAAAAATCTAATAAATATTTTGAGTAATTAAAGACATACTCCAGCCTTCTGAAGTGCTTTAGGGGTTTACATCAAGGTTCCTTTTGTCTAGTTTCATAAAAATGCCAATAAACTAACTTAGGAGTATGCCCCTTTCAGTCAAGCTGACAGCCAGGAGGGCTCCAAGCAAATTATAGCGGGCAATCTCTATGATCACAGAATTTGATTGGTGCATTTGCCCCAATTACCATGTAAACCCTAATTTTCTCCATGCAGGAAGGGGATACTGTCATCACTGACAATCTCCTGTGAGTGGAGCAGAGCAGCGATGAGGAAGAACTCACACTAGGCATAGATAGAGTTAAACAAACACTCCAAATGTTAAAATCGAATATCGTTTTTTAACCCCTTAAGGGCACATGACATGTGTGACATGTCATGATTCCCTTTTATTCCAGAAGTTTGGTCCTTAAGGGGTTAAAGCTGAAATGCTCCTTTAATACTTTCCCCTTTGTCGAATCGTTTAATGATCATATTTGTCCCCAAAGGCTGCAAAGACAAATGTTTTACAATATCATAATAATGAGATACAGGGTTGAGTTAAAATGTAAATCAGATTTTTTTTAATCGTATAAAAACAATTAATAGACATTAAAATAGTTTTCTGTATTCATTGAAAAATGAAGTAGCTATGGGTTACTGCCATTGCGGAATCTGTGGAATCTCTCCAAGGTCATTCCACTATGACATCAAGCACCTTTTATAATGAAACCTGTGGATTGAACACCTGTGCTCTGTAAGATGTCTTTGTAATACGACAATAAAGGTTAGACTCTCCGGTGTCGTGGTTACAAGGGAAGGGATGGGTTGTACAATTGCTGACCTACAAGCCAAGGGTCAGTTTTACATCACTGATGTGAAGAAATGGTGTTGAGAATTCTGTACATTGTGTATTGTGAACAACATCCAATGTTACTGGAGTTATTTCTTTAATCAAAGTTGTTTGGAATTCACGATACATGTAATGTTTATAAGCCATATGTATTCAATATACACACATTCCTAATTAGTGACGTGCAAACATATTTAATTATCTGTACACCTAAAAACAGAGACATTTTTACACACACAGACATCAATTGAGGGCTTTAGGTTAGTACTTAGCCTGCGTGTTCATTAACGATGGCAACTGTGCGTCCATGCTTCAGACAATAAACCGTACCCTGCCCTCATATTTATTCCTCTCATTTATATATTTCACAGGGCTCTAAATTGTATTCCCTATGCTTCAACCTGGCCTTATATTTGTCTCATCAAGCCCAAGTTTTTTTAGTTCTTTATATGTTTTTTATTTATACAAATTTGGATTAAACACAAGCCCTCTTCCGATATGCTGTTATTGATAATCCCCCATACCACTGCCAGCTCCTCTACACAAGCTTTACTCTTTCCCCAAATTATTATATGCTTCATAATGTTTCTCATCCCCTCAGGCTTGTCTTGTTAAAGGACCACTATAGTGCCAGGAAAACAAACTCATTTTCCTGGCATTATAGGGTCATTAGGTCTCCCCCACCCTCAGGGCCCCCCTTCAGCCACTTACCTTTCTCGGTGCTGAGGAACTCTCCTCCCTCTGCCGACGTCAGCTCCGAATGCGCATGTGCGGCAAGAGCCGTGCACGCATTCAAACCACCCATAGGAAAATATTACTCAATGCTTTCTTATAGACGTCCAGCGTCTTATTGTGATTTTCACAGTGAGAATCGCAGAAGCACCTCTAGCGGCAGTCAGTGAGACAGCCACTAGAGGCTGGATTCTCTGAAACTGCTAAGTTTTCAGCTGCAGGGTTAAAACTAGAGGGACCTGGCACCCAGACCACTTCATTGAGCTGAAGTGGTCTGGGTGCCTAAAGTGGTCCTTTAATTTTTATATGTCAAATACTTATCAAATGTGGCATCTCTACAAATGCAAATTAAAGACAGGTAAGGGGTTAAATTTCAAAGAGATCACCATGATTATCAGACAGTAAATGTTTATCTCTGGCATAAAACAAAAAAACGAGGAATCTAAATATATAAAAGGACGTTCAAAAGGAAACAATCTCACATTAGGATATGGTTACTCCATCAGAGTCCGAGTTGCACTCAGGATGCTGTCATGGTTTATAATGTTTTGAGAGTTCATTTAACATAACTAAAAAAAAAAAAAAAGCCAGAACATCACATGAAATTAATTTTTGGTGATATTTATTTATTTATTTACTTAAATTTTTATTGAAATTTTTTTTCATAGTGTCAAAAGAATCAATAAACATGTAACAACACAAAATATATTCGATTGATATGAGACATGGCATTTTGTAGAGAATCATCATATATAAACAAGATAAATCGAATACTTATGTAGTGATAAACATATAGATAAACATATAGACTAGACAGAGACAGAAAGATAATCCTCCACCTATACAGAGCAGGGAGGATTCCTAATAATATATCACAGCCTTATTAAATCTTATTAAAATATAACAGTGCAAAAATTGCCCACTTATAACCATTATTGTTATTGGATATTTTTACATTGTTCAAGACACAAAGCCCATGAACGATTGTCAATGACCATAAACCTGTTTAACTTAAGAAGCAAAACCAGAAATATATTACCCATAAATGTTGGAACGTTTTTGAAACCAGTTGGAGTACCAATCTATTTTTTTGGAAAAAACAATCCTATTACTTATGATGTCTTTTTCCATTGTCAGTTGAAATATGATTTGATCGATCAAAAGGGATTTATGGAATGGGTTAGAAGACTTCCAATGTCTGGCAATAATAATGTTAACTGCAACAAAGCAGTGAATAGCAAAACAAATACATTTATGCGACTTTAATTGCCAATTCAAGTGTAGAAGGGCTGAAGCCGGATTTTTATTAAGTTTATTAAGTGTAACTGTGTAGAAGCTATTAAATGCCCACACCCAAAGCGATTTACCTAGTGGACAGGCCCACCATATATGAATGTATGTACCCGGGTGCGTGCCACATCTCCAACAAGTAGAGTCGTAGGTATCATACATTTTGGCCAGTCTTGTTGGAGTAAAATACCATCTGTGTACGACCTTGAAATGGCATTCAGTCAGATTAAGACAATGTATATATTTGTTTGTATGAATTAGAGAGGTAAGCCAATCATTTAGGGGAATCACTAAATTTAATTCCTTCTCCCAATTATTAATCAATTTCTGGGAGGTGACTTTGGAACCATCCAACAGAGAGATAGCAACAGAAGTAACCTTAGAAACCGATCGGTAACAGAATAGACTTTCCAACTTCTTTGCCAATGGGAAGGAGGTTGGAATAACACATTTCTGTATGAAATGTTTAATTTGAAGGTAAGTAAATATTTCTCTAGGGGAAATATGTATGTTATCGACAATCTATTGGAAGGGCAGAATAGTATCTCCTTGCATAATATCCAAAATAATTAGTGAATCATTATTTCCCCAGTATCTCAAAGAAAAATCTTCTATAATACATTGTAATATATTAAGTTTTCAAGATCTAGGGATTATTTGTGCAAAACGCAGTATTTTCTTAATTTCTGCCCTAACTTCTAGCGTTTGAACCAAAGTAGATGGGTAATTTATGGTAGGATCATTTAAAATCTCCCTGTTATCCAACCACATGTAGTAATGTAATCTAGAAGTATGGGCAGCTTCCGACTCCAAAATGAACCATGGTTCAAAGAAAACCTGTGGATCTTGAAGAATATATATATGGCGGATAATATTGGCGAAATAGATATAAGTAATGCTTGGAAAACTGAGGCCACCCTGAGATAACTTTTTGGATATAATTTCTGACTAATTCTAGGTTTTTTATTCTTCCAAATAAAATTATTAAAACTTGATTGAATCATTGCAAACCAAGGCCTGGGCATTTTTAGGGGGACCATAAAAAAAAAATATAACCACTTAGGTAAAATGTAGGAATTTATAATATTAATTCTACCTATCCACAAAGTTTCCAGGTTTTGCCATTTTTTTAAATTGAGGTTCCTATTTTTCATTAACATCAAAACATTTCTCTCCATTATAGTTGAAACATTTGCAGGAATAGTTAGACCTAAGTAGATTATTTCCCTATCTGTCCAATTAAATTTATAACGCTGAGATAACTTGTCAATCTGGTCTAAGGACATATTAATGCTTAGACCTGTAGATTTTGAAATATTTAACTTAAAATTGGATATATTAGAATATCTATCAATTTCGGACATTAAGGGCCGGAGTGATTCCTCAGGGGATGTCAAAATGACTAAAGCGTCATCCGCATATGGTGAAATTTTAATGTCACTTGATTTTGTGTGGACACCCTTGATTAATGAGTTGTTTCTAATATTGATAGCCAGGGGTTTAAGAGATAAAATATACAATAGGGGCGAAAGAGGACACCCCTGCCTGGTACCATTTTTAAGATCGAACCAGACCACGGTTATATTCGGACCCACCGTTCTGGCTGAGGGGGCGGAGTACAGAGCTAAAATTGCACCATATATCCATCCCCTAAAGCCAAAGGCCTTCAAAACTTCACTTAGGTATCCCCACCCAACCCTGTCGAATGCTTTTTCGGCGTCTAAAGACAGGGCCAGGAGGGGAGTGTTATGTCTTTTGGCCAAGTCAATGATATCAATCAACCTTCGAGAATTATTTGATGCCCATCTACTGGGGATAAACCCAATTTGATCCAGGTGGATAAGTTTCGATATGATGATTTTAATTCTCTCAGCAATAATAGCTGAGTATATCTTTATATCTACATTGATTAACGCGATCGGTCTGTAATTTCTGGGATCCGTGCCATCTTTATTCTGTTTTAAAATAGGGACTAGGTTGGATTGTAACAATTCTTTTGGTAACATATTATTTTCGGCTATTTGATTAAACATTTGAGTTAAGGGGTTTAATAAATGCGACTTCATGTATTTATAGTATAAATTTTGTGAAACAGTCAGGCCCCGGGGTTTTATTTGTGGCTAATCTATCTATTTGGAACTGATCTTCATCTATAGAGATTTTTTTATTTAGAGCTGACAAATTTTGGGAAGTGATTTTCGGGATAAGTGTATTGGATATATAATTTTGAATGTCCGTTATTTTTGGCCACAATTTTAAATTATATAAGTCTTGATAAAATTGATTGAATTTTTGTCCTATTTGAGAAGGAGTAGAATAAACTATGTGATCAATCACCAGTTTTTCTACCCTATTGTTCGCGTAGTGATTTTGAAGTCTTTTTGTTAGGTTTTTATTAGCTCTATTGCCCGTGTGGTAATTGTTTAACTTTAATTTATTTATGTTGATCTTAATGTTTTTCTTATTCTTTTGAATTGATTTGTTGTTGTAGATCGTTTAAACGGGTTCTTAAGTCTAGAGTAGAATATTGTTTATTTAAATGAGAACAAGAGTAAAATTCAATATATAAATCTTTTAAATTCTTGCCTTTTTTTTCTTATAAATGTGGCCCATTTTAATTAGATAACCCCTCATGACAGATTTGTGGGTACACCAATTAATCAAAGGGTATCAACCAGATTATTTTATGGCCCAAAAATAGTCTAATGACTTTGACAACTCATCCCTGTTTTGATCATTTTTAATAAGGGAATCGTTCAGTCTCCAGGTGGTACGAGACAGTGGGAGGTTGTTACCAAGATAAATAAAATAAAGCTGTGGTCAGACCAAGGATTTTCCTTGATGATAATAGAGTTAAAGAGAGGAATTGTAGTTGCATTAGTTAGACAATAGTCAATCCTTGAATAGGTACCATGAACACTAGATAAATGAGAATAATCTTTTTGAAAGGGATGGAATAGTCTCCAAATGTCGTGAAGGTTGTTTACAAATGCTATGTAATTTTTTGGCCTGTTTCGTGATTCTTTTATTATTCATGGATGAAGATATAGCTGTCTTGTCTAATTTGGGGTCATTGACACAATCAAAGAACCCTTAGAGATCTTATCAACTTTATCCATTATTACAGAACATTTAGCCATTTTTGGTGATATTTAAAGGACCACTATAGGCACCTAGACCACCTCAGCTCAATTAAGTGGTCTGGGTGCCAGGTCCCCCAGGTTTTAACCCAACAGCTGTAAACATAGCAGTGTCAGAAAAACTGCTATGTTTATATTGCAGGGTTAATCCAGCCGCTAGAGGCGCTTCCCCGACGCTCAATGCGAAAATCGCATTGAGTATGCTGAACGTCCATAGGAAAGCATTGAGTAATGCTATCCTATGGGCGGTTTGAATGCACGCGCGGCTCTGGCCACGCATGCGCATTTGGCTCAACTCAGGAGCTAACGTCGGAGGGAGAGGAGAGGTCGCCAGCGACGGGTGCTGGATTAAGGTAAGTGGCTGAAGAGGTTTTTTTAACGAGTTTGTTTTCCTGGCACTATAGCGGTCCTTTAATATTTTATTAAATTTTTCATTTTTAGAGAATACTTTACTTGAAAGCGGCTCTGTCACCATCTTTGTATAATTTGCGGTAGTCCCTACTTTGTCTGCGTTTATCTTTTGACTCATTCACAGAGAAAAAAGAGGGGTGGCGAAAGTTTCAAAAGAGACACTCATAGGAATTCTAGGACTTATAGAAGAAAAATACAAAAACAAAAAAACAGGGAATAAATCCTAGAGAGAGTAGTTATTAAGAAAATTAGAAGGTCATCTTTATTATTACTAATTAAAACAAAATCATTTAAAAAAAAAAAACACTAATACAAAACAAACATATAGTTAAAAGGTAGCAGCTAGGGAAAAACAGATACAAAAAAAAATTATTGTGTACCTTATATAGTTTATCTCAGTGATAGCATAGTTTGCAATGGTCCAATTAGTATCTAGAGCCCAGAATATAAGTAGTTTATCATCCGGATAATCTTTTCCCTTTGAATAGCCGCCTGACCGACGGAAAGTGCCTTGGGGCACGGCTCCATCACAAAATTTTGCCAGGACATTTATAGATACAGCATAGTCATATATATGGAAGGTTTTAATCTTATGTCTTAATTAGGAACGGTGCCTCTACAAGACTGCTGAGCTGGGGAACTTTAACAATGACAGCTATTTATTCTTAGCTCAGGTGCCCTCGAAGGCACTGTGTACAGGGCTTTACTCAAATAATATGGTAGATAGATACTTGATATCATTTTAGGTGGATTTTTATACCTTCATTTTCAATGCTATTATTTTAGCTTTTGGCTATTGTGAGACTATAGATGTTTTCTATTTGAATTAAAGTCTCCTTCCCACCCTGGGACTCCAACCTCTGGATCCAGGAGCATGTGGACAGGATCTCTCCTCCAAGAGAGTATAGCTGAGGCTCGTCTCCAGGAGAGTATAGCTGGGGCTCTCTTCCAATAGAGTATAGCTGGGTCTCTCCTCCAAGAAAGTATAGCTGGGTCTCTCCTCCAAGAGAGTATAGCTGGGGCTCTCTTCCAATAGAGTATAGCTGGGACTCTCCTCCAAGAGAGTATAGCTGGGGCTCTCCTCCAGGAGAGTATAGCTGGGGCTCTCCTCCAGGAAAGTATAGCTGGGGCTCTCCTCCAGGAGAGTATAGCTGAGGCTCTCCTCTGGGAGAGTATAACTTGTATAGCTGAAGAGAGCTCTTACAAGAGCTAGCAGTGATATAGCTGGTATAGCTGTTCCCTACAACAAGAGACAAGGCTACAAGTTGAGGGTAAGAAGATCTGATTTATTGAGTGCAAGGGGCATTTCTTTTATACAGTTTTCCCCACAAGGTTACTACCCACGTGGACCTTGTTGGGCACCGAAAACACAAACTTAACAACCAATCATTTACAGATACACAGTTAAACACTCCCATTCATTACTGTTAAATTCCTCCCTTCTGCTAGGGGGATAATTGAGTTAATTAAAAAGCGAAAAATATACTTTTTACACAATTTTTATAACTTCACAATTATACGTTCAATCCCAATAAAAGTTAAATTTCCAGAACCAGCATACTTAGGGGACAAACATATCCAAAAATCATGCGAATTGGTCCAGTGGTTCGGGAGATAGCTGGAAGTCCTATTTTGACTGACCACACGCACGCACATTTTCATGCCCAAAACAGTTCCAGAGATTTGGGCTGTCCATTCACCTTAGTTCAAATACTGTTGAAATGCACGAACGGTGCCAGTTCGTGCAAATAGCAATGTTAATGTTGCGTTCGTATTGTCAAACGCTGTTCAACTCCATTCGAAGTGTTGAAGTTCCAGAGAAGGTACGAATTCAGCGGTGTTTGTGCCGTCGTGTATCCGATTTTAGTTCCATGAACTCGACGACCAAACATTGCTGAACGCGTTTGACTGAATTAAAATGACCGCTGCCACATGTTCGTTTGTCGAATGGCGGCCACTTCAACTACTTCAGCATTTCGGCTGTATCCGAAGTGCCAGTTCAAAAGCGCAGATCCAGGACTGGGTGCCTGGAGTGTCCCTTTAAGCAGACTATACTATCACTGAGTTACTCTATATCAAGAGCACTAGAGATACACAACAGATTTTTTTGTATCTGTTTTTCCATAGCTGCTACCATTAAACTATGTGTGTTTTGTATGTTGTTTTTTTTTATTTTTATTTTTAATGATAATTCTGACAAGGTCCGTCACTCAGGGGATGGCCATAACGACGAGTGACGGACCTCGTCCGTCACCCGTTAAAATTAACCCTGGATCGCCGCTATCGCGGCGATCGCAGCAATCGCGGGGTTAATGGTGCTCCGGTCTGCCTCTGTATTAGAGGCAGACCGGGAGCACCCGATAGTGCTGCCCCAGCACATGTGCTCGCCACCACCTGGTCCACAGGGCTCACAGCATCAGGGACAAGTCTCTCCGGGGTCCCGGAGGCCCGGGCACCTACTCCTCTTGCGGGCTGGTTGCCGGAGAATCCATCCGGAGGTCGGTAGCGCCGAAGGCCGCACACTCTGTCCAAGGCGGTCCCCACGGTAGGTGAGTATTTTTCACTGTGTCCCTTCTCAGAGCAGTCGGATGCTTAATTAAAGGGGTTTAAAACAGCCGATTGCACATATCCACCGCTGTGGCTGTCCCCATGTCTGTATGGACCAGTCTTCTGACAGGCTGTTCCGCATGCAGCTTTTGCCAGTGTAGGCGATCGGCTCAACACCAGCCCGGGGACTCCCGTCGCCATGTGGGCCGCCGCCATGAGGTCAGGATTACCCCCGCCGACCATGAGGGGGGGAGCGGGGCCGCACCGCCGGCAGGCACCGGCCGTGTTATGTCAGGACTCTTTCGCACTGACCGCCCTGCTCAATTGTCGCTTGAGGCTCCATATTGTGTGTAGGCCGGAGATATCAGCACCCACCTTCCAGCTTGCTGTTGGTGGTTATTGGGTGTCTTTCTGATGCTGGGATTTTGCTCTGCTCCGGTACTGCGGAGATGTCAACTTTGGGGTGTTCAGCACACCCTTTTAGTGCCTTTTTCAAGTGCCCGGATCTGGAGCTAAAGTTCATGGCTGCCAGCCGGCCCGGCGGCCCGGCCCCGCCCCCCCATAATCGGACATGGGCACAGCGTAAAAATTTAAAGTTTGAAAAAAACTGGAATGGCTGTATCCCAAATGTGCCCCTCCGATGTCCACATATACCTGGCAAAGGTACATACGGGGGTATTGCTGTACTCAGCCGACATAGCTGAGCAACATATAAAATATTATACACTGGTAGCACACATAAGGTTTGCAAAATATACTGTGCAAACTCACTTTGTGTGTCAAAAAGGCAGAAAAAACACTTATTACCACTACACTTGGTACAAGCTAGCGGAAAAATGATCCCATGCTAAGGTTCAAAATATTCCTTTTGAAATACCCTGGGGTCTCTACTTTAAGAAATGGTAGGCCTTTGTGGGGCAACCCTGCTAAGATGCTTGGAAATTGCACATAGGCCCAGCGTCAAAATTAAAAGTTCGGTAAAAACTGATATGGCTTGGTCTCCTATATGGCACTGTAGCTTCACGAAATAGTGCCAAAGACTTTCATTGGGGGTGTCTTTTTACTCAGAAGACTTAGCCGAGCATAATTTGGGGGGTTTGAACTTAGTGGCACATGTGAAATATACAAAATGCCCAGCAAAAATGCAATCCATATGTAAAAAACGCACAAAATTATTTTTTATCACATACTTTAGCATATATTGGTAAAAAAATGGGGGCATGTTAAGGCACAATATGCACCTTATGAGATACCCTGGAGTATCTACTTTTACAAATGGTAGGCCTTTGTGTGTTTTTTTTTTTAACAGTTAAACTGGTATAATACCCCAAATGGAAGCATAGGCTCATTAAAACCGTCTCTCAAAATTCTACTGTGAATACTGAAAAGAACAGGCCTTCTTTATGGCACTGTAACTTCACGAAATAGTGCCAAAGACATGCAATGGGGGTGTAATTTTACTCAGCAGATGAACACAAAATAAAATTTTGTACAGGAATAGCACACACCAACTTTACAAAATACACATGAGAATTTCTTTGTTATAAGTTTATGTGCCAAAAACCAAAAAAAACACAATTTTACTCCAATATTTAGCAGAGGTTGGCGGTGAAATGGCTATGTAGAAAGTGTCAAAACATCCTTAGGACAATAGCCTGTGATGTCTACTTTATATAAATATATATTTTTGTATGGCAATTTTGTTTTCTTTTATGGCTATTAAGCTTACAAGACAAACATACCAAATTCTAAAATCGCTCCACATTAAAAGTCTGTTTTACTCCTTGTGCTTTGTGACCTGTAACTACCAAAAAAAATCTTAAAATCCCAGACACATTATATATTCTGTAAATCAGAACAACTAAATTAATTAATTTGTAATTACATTCGTTAACCTGCACGAATTATGCACACATTATTATTGCAAAAACTGTAAAAAATAAAACATAATTTTTTTTTGCATTTTTCTGTATTTTTTTTAATAATAAATAAGCATTTCTATATATATATATACATATATTACATCAAATTAAAGCCCTTTCTGTCCTTTAAAAAACGGTGTATAATATGTGTTGGTGCAATTGAACGCAAACAGCAAAAAATAAAACAAATGCTGCTGTCCTTAAGGGGTTAATAAAGATGTCATGTTTATGAAATACTAATTTTGGAAGGGGGGGGGGTAACAGTGCCAGGCTGAGCGAAATATAACTTCAGCTCTACACACTAGAGTACAAACAAACGGCCTGGTATGAAAACTATGGCACTCAAGCAAAACAGGACTCCGAACAAATGGCCGCTGTGTCGCCACAGCTCATGTCTCTAGTGTATGCATCACACCATGCCCGGCGCGCGGCATTCTGGGATTGTTTGTGTTGGGAAGCCGAGCGCGGTGATTGGCTGCTGGCCGTCCCGGAGTGATGTCATGTGACTGGCTTTCCTGGTGCGGTAAACATGTCTGTGGCGGAGCCCTGTAGTCCGGAGGGGCAGAGCGAGGCCCTGGGGGAGCTGGGCGAGGAGGAGCACGGAGCGGAGCCGGTGAGTGGGAGCGGAGCATGCCGGGATCCGGTGCGGGGCCCAACGGGATCACCGGAGGGGGAGGATCCGCCAGCAGCCAGCTCATTGGATCCACATGTCGGCAGTGGGCAGCCAGGGGTGGGCCTCACAGCCGGGCCGGATACCCTGTCACACGGACCCCCTATCACACGGACGGACGGACTGACCGACTGACACACGGACTGACTGACTGCCGGGTACACTGACTACCACACCGCCGGTACACAATTGACCCAAGACACACCAACTGACCGACCGCCGGGTACACACTGACTGACTGACTGCCGGTACACACTGACCTGACACTGGCCGGGTACACACCGACTGACTGACGACTGACACACTAACCGACACTGCTGCTGGTACGGGACTGACTTCACACCGGGTACTACCAACTGGACTGACTGCCGGGTACTAACTGACTGACTGCCGGGTACACCGACTGACTGACTGCCGCGGCCGGACAGACACTCACACTGACTGACTGCCGGGTACACACCTCACACACTGACTGACTGATCCGGGTACACACTGACTGACTGACCGCCGGTACACACTGACCGACTGCCGGACTGTACACACCTCTGACCGACTGACTGACTGGCTGACGGACTGCCGTGCCACACCGACTGACTGACTGCCGGTACACACTGACTGACTGACTGACCGACTGACTGCCGGTACACACTGACTGACTGACTGCCGGTACACACTGACTGACTGACTGCCGGTACACACTGACTGACTGACCGCGGGTACACACTGACTGACTGACCGCCGGGTACAATACACTGACTGACTGACCGCCGGGTACACACCTCAACCGGGACTGACTGCCGGCACACAATGACTGACCGCCGGGCACACACCGACTGACCGACTGCACACACCGACTGACTGACTGACTGACCGTCGGTACACACCGACTGACTGACTGGCACACCGACCGACTACCGTCGGTACACACCGACCGATCCGACCGCCATCACACTGACCGAATGACTGACTGACTGACTGACCGTCGGGTACACACCGACTGACCGCCGGTACTGACCGACCGACCGTGGCACGACCGCCGACTGACTGACCGCACGCACTGACTGACTACTGGGGTACACACTGACTGACTGACCGATCGACCGCCGGGTACACACCTGACTGACCGACTGACCGACTTACTGACCGGGTGCCACACTGACCGACTGACCGCCGGGTACACACGACTGACTGACCGACTGTCGGCACGACTGACCGGACTGCCGCCGGGTACACCCGACCGACCGTCACCACACTGACTGACTGACTGACTGACTGCACACCGGGTACCGCCGGGTACACCGACTCTGACTGACCGACCGCCGGCACACACCGCCCGACCGCCGGTACACACCGACCGACTGACTGACCGTCGGCACACACCGACTGAGTTGAATCGACCGTCGGTACTGACCGACCGGACCGCCGCGACCGACCGACCGACCGCCGGTACACTGACTGCCGACCGGTAACGCGACTGACTGACTGACGCGACCGACTGCCGTCGGCACGCGACTGACTGACCGTCGGGTACGACTGACTGACCGTCGGCACGCGACTGACCGACCGGTCGCACTGACTGACTGACCGTCGGCACGCGACCGACTGACCGTCGGTACGACTGACCGACTGCCGTCGGCGGTGCGACTGACTGCCGTCGGCACGCGACTGACTGACCGCGGTACGCGACTGACCGGACTGCACGCCGACTGACTGACTGCGGGTGACGACTGACTGACTGACCGCACGGACTGTGACGCGACTGCACTGACTGACTGACTGCCGGGTACTGACTGACTGACTGCCGGGTACGACTGACTGACTGACTGCGCGCCTACCGCATCGACTGACTGACTGCGCCGGTACGACTGACTGACGCACTGACTGACTGACTGCCGGGTACGCGACTGACTGACTGCCGTACTGATCGACTGACTG